GATTGGGGCCAAGAGGTGAGGAATTCCCTTGAGACAGAGAGGAGGCACAGAGTGATGGCTGCATGGCCTGACGGAGATCCACTGTCCCCTCCCCCAGGAGGGAACTCATGGTATTTATGTGAGACCCCATCTCCACCTGGAGCAGCCATGTGGCCCCATGCTGGTCCCCACCCCTGAATCTCAGTCTCCCCCGCCTCCCCTTCCGTAAACAGACTTCCTATCTCTGCCTGCTGAGGGTAAAGTTCTGGCTGGAACCGTCCAGTGAACCAGGCCCAAGCACCCAAGCCATGGGAAGCCTGCCTGCCGGTCATCAGCTGACCAACCCGTCCCTTGGGGTACGGTCACCACAGTGTCCTGGTGTCAATGCAGCATTCCTGGAACAGGCATGGTCAGACAGGCCAGCCCTTCACCCGGGCCTCAGTTTACATCCCCATCTAGTGCAGCCATAGCAGAGACTCTGATTGTCTAGGACCCATCAGGCACACACTGGGTGTTTAACCTGCAGTTTGAGCAGTGCCTGCCTGCCTATCCACCGCCCGCCTGCCAACCCGGCCTAGGCAACTGACACTTGGTGGTGGTGGCCTGCGAATGTGGGTGGGGACCCCTGGGGCGGCCCTGCCTTATAGCTGCCACTGGACAGAGGCCTCAGTGTAAGCAGACCAGGGCCTTTCACAAGCCCTGACCCCTGACGGGGTGTCTGAGAATGCTGTCTATTATCCGATTCACAGAGCACAAAGAGGCCACGTGGGGGCTCATATAGGCCAGGCGCCTGCCATGAACCCATAAGGGCTCGGGGTCTCCACCCTGCCTGGCAAGTCCCCTGACCACAGAGGTCAAGGACATGCTCAGAGTCAGCAGAGGGTTCTGACACACAGGAATGAGAACCATTTCCTCCAGCCCCCCACAGGACAACAAAGAAAGAGCAGGCCTGGGGCAGGATCCCTAGGGGCTGGGGTTCCCAGGTAGCAGGGCAGGGACCCTGCAGAGTCTAGGAGAAGGGGCCTGAAACATGACAAGCCCCTGTCGCACACTGTCGTCAACTGTGGGGCGTGCCTCCTGACAGCGTCCCCACTGTCCCTTCTGGGCACCCTGGGAGTCACAGCAGCAATGGCCGGGGAGCTACTGTGGAGTCCAGAGGATGAGGAAGCTGTGCTGTGTGACATCAGGTGGCCATCTGAGCCCTCTGAGCCTTGGCATTCACAAATGGTAACTGACATCCAGGCCCTTGCTGGCACCAGGCTCTAGAGGCTCTCCTGTGGGACCCAGAGGAGTGGGGAGAGAGGAACCCCAGTTCCAGAGGCGGCAAGTGGGCAGACACCAGGCTCACGACAGACCGGCTGCTCCAACACGCGGCTGTTTTCTTTGGGCACAGCCGTCCTGTGTCTTGGATTCCATGGTCCTCTTGAGATCTGAACCGAAGCTCATGCCCCTGGGGTCACCAAGAGGTTAGGGACAAAGCGGAGGCTGGGTGAAGAGCAGCGGGACACAGTGGCTAAGAGCTTGAGTTGGGACACTGAGCAGGCTGGGTGGCTACTGGCACGTGGCCCCACCTCTCTGGTCCTCCGTGTCCCCACTCGGGGCTCCGTCCACTCCTGACGGTGTCTTCCCTCCACCCCGCTCCCAGCACCTTTGTCCTCCACTTGTGGGATGTCAGAAGCCCTTCCTGCAGGGGACCTTCTCCAGTCCCCAGGCAGAGCCCCTCTTCCCAGCGCAGCCAAGGCCCCCAATGTTATTGTTTCCAATTGAAGAAGAAAAACATTTCCTCTTCTCCCTCTTCCTTCCCCTCCCCCCAGCTCTGCCCTGCGTAGTCGCCAGCGGAGCCTTGCTGGAGGGGGCAGGGGGGCACTGACCTAGGGGACATGCCCACCCTCGTCCTCAGCAGCAAGGGAAAGCTTTCCTCACCCTTCCCGAACTCCAGGCTTCTGCACCCGGGCAATGGCCTGCGCCGGTGCCTGGGGATCACGTTTAAGGCCCTCCGCGGGTGCTGACCAGGGACAACTTGCACATGCCACGCTGGAAGCCAGCTCCACAGCTGGAAGCAGGCAGGAACTTACATGCAAAGAGACGTGCCGAGTAAATTCTAGAACGCTCCTGGTGCTGGCTAAGCTTGAGACCCTCTTTCTCCTGGACAGGGACAGTGACAAATGCTAGATGCTAGCGAGTCATTAAAGACGTGTTAGCCCCAGACCGAGACTTCTCCTTGATCTAATCAGGAGCCAGGAGCAGGAGGGGAAGGGCCCTGTCATCAGTTGCTGGCAGCCGAGTGGCTGGCTGGGGGTGTAACTACTTCAGTCAGTGTGCTGGGTGCCATCTGTCTCCCAGCAGATCCCCAAATCTATCCTGGGAGGACCCCCCAGAGTCTCAGCAAGGACTCTCCTCCCGTCCTCCCACATCTCTTCTCATCCAGGAATGATCTTGGTCTTGAGAGAAAGCTGAGTTCCAGTCCTACTGCTGATGCTCAGTTTCCCCATCTGTGAAATGGGCTCAGTGACCCCTCCCTGCTTTGTCTTCTGGTGCAAGGATGGTGTGAGATTGTGGTAGCAGACTGGGCATAGGGTTTGCCCCCCAGTAACCCACTGACTAGCGTGGGATTCAAGTGGGCTGGGACCCTGATCGACTGACCCCTCCTGCCTGGGCTCCCAGCCTTAGCAGGGTCAGTGGGGCCGTGACTCAGCCTTGTAGTATCGGTGCTATTATAACGGTCCACACCAGGAAACAGGCTCAGAGAGGGCAAGTGCCCTGCTGGAGGCCACACTGCATTTCCTACTTCAGTTTATGTGAGGGTATGCAGACCCCAGAATCTAACCAGGCCCCACATGCTGAAGCTGGGGTGACTCCAGAGTTCCACCAGCTTGGCAGGAAGTTTGCCCACCGTGCCCAAAACAATCCATCAGGCCAGCAAAGCCAAGATGTCATAAAGCATTATCCTCGAGGCTCAGTGGGGGGAGCTGCAGGATGCGGCAAGAAAGTAAGAGGAGAGGGACAGGAAGGAAGCAGGGAGGGGGAGGGGACAGGACGAGGACATGGAGAGTGAGACAGAGACCAGAGATAGAGGAGAGGGGAGGGGAGGGGAGAGAGAGGCAGAGAGAGAAGGAGGGGGAGCAGAGGAAGACAACGGATGGGCAGCAGGCTAGAGGAAGAGAAAAAAGCCCATGGACGGGCTGCGCTGGGGAGCCCCAGGGAGGGCCTGGGGCTCTGTATACCTTGCTCTCCTGTGGCTAACACTGATACTATGCCATGAGTCTCCCCCTACAGAGGTGGAGGCAGGTCCCCTGAGTACTTAAGTTAGGGCGGGGGATGGTGGGGGGCTAGGACAGAAGTCTCCAATTTCCTGCCAAGGAACACTCCTGGCCATCAAAGCCAAGGCCATGAATGGGGTGGAATATGGCAGGCCAGCAGGCCGGCACAGTAACAGGAAGGCTGGGGTGGGGACCAGGGAAATGGGGGTAGCTGTAAGCTGGGCCCTTTCTGCTGACCCCTCAGGCACAGGGAAACCCCCCTCCCCACCCTTCCTTCCTATCCAGGGGGAGCAAGGCAGGAGAGGTCACCCTTCTGAGTAAGGGCCACCAGTCCTCAAGTGACAGCTGCAAGCTGATAGGAGATCCTGATTGAGAACCTGTAGCCGAGGGACTGTGGCTTCAAACAACGGAACGGTGCCCCACCTTCCCCCTTAGCTGAGGATCTCTGGCTTCACTTCTGGGGCCTCAGTTTCCATGTATGCAAAATGGGTTGAGTAAAGCATGTAAAATGGGCGGGCGGCACTTGGCATGGTCCTATGTGGGCACCACCATGCTGTGGAGAGCATCACATGGGCTCTGTGACCTCAGGATACCACTACCCGCCTCTATCCCAGGGCCAACCCGTTCTTTTGGAGCACAAAGGAGACTGGTGCCCAGTGCCAGCTCGTATGTGGGACTACTTAAGTAAGGTCTTCTCAGAAGCTGGAACTAAGGGCAGGGGCCTGGGGGTCGACAGGGTCTGACTCCACACAGAGACGTGGTCTGGTGTGTCCTGCTCAGCCCAGCCTGCCCCGTGGTATGGCAAGAAAGAGGGACATACTTCCTCTTGATGTAGTTTCCCACTTTTGCTGTGGGACTGCCAAGCTTGTTCCACGGTGCCTGCTGCCTGTGAACTCCCCACTTACAGGGCAATTTTTGGGGACAGCTCATGGAGTCCCAGGGGCCTGATGTCCCTGGGTCTGGCTGGCGTTTAGAGAGAGACTTGAGGAACATGTGAGGAGGGGCTGTGACCAGAAGCGGCGGGCGGTGGAGAAGAGATGGAGAGCTACAGGGGACAAGGAGAGGGAAAGAGTAGGGAGGGAGAGCTGCGGGAACAGAAAAACGCAGGCGAGGGAGAGGGAGTGACGCGGGAGAGGCACGGGGCGGAGTTGACGGGAGCGAAGTAGGGGAGTCGGAGAGACAGAGAGAGCGAAACTCCGCGCGGCGGTGGAAGACAAACCGGAGCCCAGAAGCCGCAGGGAGAAAGGGCCGGGACGAGGAGAAAGAGGAAAGATAGCAAACAAACGTGAGCGAGACCTTCCAGGTGGCCAGGATCGAGCCAAGAGGCAGGGAACTTGCAACCGCTGGGAGCATCGGCCGGCGACCCGGACCGGGAGCCGGGGGGTGGGGCGGGGCGTGGCCCAGGGGCGTGGCCCGGGGCGAAAGGGTGTGGGCCCGGCGTCTGGGGCGGGGAACTGGGCTGGGGG